AAGGAAAGCAAAGCTTTGTAAATTACAAAGCACTACAAAACTCAGGCTTATTTTACATAGTGTAGCAGAGCTGGTCCTTTGAGATGATTTAATACAACCCTTTTTTATTTTATAGACATGGAAAGTGAAGTTGAGAGGTTGTCACTAGTTCACTGCAGCATAAAAAGGAGCCAGACTACACATGCAGTTTTTTTCACACTGTCATGCTCATTTCCCATTTCTCAGATCATCTAGGTCCTCCAAGATTCTAGATCGACCCCCTTAGAGTTACTCTGCTCATTCCAGCATAAGTAGCCTTGGGTGCCTTAGCTTTTAAAGGGCACAGAGAAGGAGAAGGTGGGGAAGGGCTTCTCTTGGTTCCTGATTGATGGCTCTAAACTCCGCAAGAGAATTGAGATGGGATAATTCAGGGTAGCTCTAGAAATGAGACCAAACATTCTCAGATCCCATTCTCTTTAAAATCCCTTCCTAGCAACAGGATGTTTCTATAACTCCAGAAAAGTCTTCAATCATTTGTCACTGTTTCCTCTAACACCTTGTTGATACACATTTATCACTGGCACCAACTACTCTGCCCTAAAAGCAGCACCATGTTATCCCATGGACACAAAGCCCCCCACTTTCCCCCACTTTACTTCTTTGGGAAACAACCTCCTACATAAAGGGGTGGGAAGTACAGTAAGATCTTGACAGGAAGATCTCTCCTGCTATGGGCTAGATTTGGGGTTGAAGGAGGGAAAAGAGTGAATAATTAGAAGGTGGATCCCAACAGCTCCGTGTACTTGGTAGTAGTTTCCTTTTTCTTGCCAAGCTTCAAACCTCATAATGAGAAAAGAAGACAAAAGGATCCCCTTTAACAGATTAGGAAGAAAGGGGTTCATAGAAGTGAAACGAGTTCTCCAAGTGGTTTTCTATTATTAACAACTAGTGAGGAGGAACCAAGTTGTTTGGGAGCAGAAATCAGACAGCCATGTCCCCAGGTTAGAACACTGAGAAGCTTTATTTATGTAGTTATTTCAAATCTTTACAACAGTCAAAATCACAAGGTCACTCGGAGAGTGCTATATAACAGCTGGAAGGGACAGCAACAATAACCACAAGCAAACTAGGAGAATGAGAAAGAAAAAGGCCCAAGTCTGAGACTTTCCCAAAGCGTATCACACCATCCCCTTTCGGTGGACCACGTTCCTATACCACTCTGCCAGTTTTATGGGCTGGGACAGGATGAGGGAGGACACAGCATCCCATGTAAACAAAGCTATGAGACAGGACCTATCTGAACCTCACTCTGTCCACTAGCCAACAGTCCCTGTACTACAGGCATGGGGGAGGAAGGTTGAAGGGGAAATGTTCATCCCAGATTTTGGCCTGGGTGGCAGGCCCTCCTGCTTCCTGCAGGAGGTGGTTGGCCAGAAGTGGGGTGGAGAACAGATTCCCCAACCAGATTTCCCCCTCTCCACTCCCTAGTTCTGCAATGACTGATGTCCATAATGGGGGAAGGAAGGAGATAAAAGTTTATAGTGTGATATCAGTTTACTGTTAAAAAGAAGGGCAGTACCAAGGTAGGGCAAGGTCCAACCCTCATGAAGGGCTCTCAAATTAACAGACATTTGCCAAGAGATTCAAGGCCTATAAGAGGGTGGCCCCTGGCCACCTCCTAAGCCTAGGACCTGCCAGTCATCCTGAAGCAAAAGAACTCACCCAACACCTGAGAAGATCACATAATGATAAAGATCCATGGGAATAACTGAAATCATCATCATCACACCCTCAACCCTTCAAAACTGGTTTCATCTAGGTGAGGAGAGGGAAAAGCCCTACTGATGCTAGGAAGCACAGGGACTGACTGACCAAGTAATATGACTTAATACAGACCTAGGTTCAGCCCTTCCAAATCTAGCCCCAAGAGAGACAGTGAGAGAGGTAGGTGCCTCCTGTCTTCTCTGTCTCCAATTTTCCCCCCTTTGGAGAGGGAGGTGGCTGAAGGAAACCTCCCCTCCCCTTCCCTTCCTCACGAACCCTGAATGCTTGAGATTAAGACATGAATGCCCCCAAGGGGCACTAATCAGACCACCACCTGCCCCAGGCAAGCTAAGTGCTCTCTCCACCTGTTCTACACTGCAGGTTCAGATCCCCAGAAGTCACCATTAGATAGCAAGGGAGGCTACCAGAAAAATCTCCATTACTACATGCCATAGGCCCACACACTCCTCAGCTCCACTGGCTAACTAAGCAAGAGCTCCATTTCCTTCTTTAAAACAAGCCTTCTCCTCTACTCAGAGCGCGCAGCTCGCTCCTGCCTTCCTCCGGAAGTGAGAATAAGACACACAACAAGTTCTCCCTACAAACCTCAAGCTCACTGAGACTCTCTGGCTCTACCTTCCTACACATTTTGCAATTCTTCCACTTAAAAGGGAGAATCATCCTGGCACTGCTCCCTACCTCTGTAGGTGATCCCGAGGCAAGTTACAACTCTCGAACCTCAGTTTCCCCATCTACAAAATGAAGTGGTGGTCTGAGTCTTCTCTAAGGTTCCTTCCAGTTCTAAATCCTTTTGAGTCATAAGGTCTATAGATTCAGTCTGTTTTACCTAGGCAAGAATTAAATACTGTTAAGCCATGTGGAGGACGGGATGGAGATGTACACACAGGACTTCATGAACATTACAAACAAAAGCCCTTAAGTATTGTGGAGCTCAAGACAAAAGTCACAGCTTTATCCTGAAAACTACTTAGCTAGAAACTTCTAGAACCCTACTAGCCAGTTAAGGTGAAACACCTGGGCACTGCCGAGGGGAGAGGGTGAGACTGGTCCCTCCACCATCACTAACGGCTGCCTTCACCCCCTTTCTGTCCTGTTAAACCTCCTATTCCATGGAAGTGTAGAGAAGGAAAAAGTTGGGGGTGGGGTGGAATACAGTGGAGAGTCAAAGTGACTGGATGATGGAAGTCAAAGTCAATAAGGATATGGTGGACAGAAGTGTGGTGGAAAGGAAAATCTCTTCCCTCAAAATACATGGCTTAAGGAACACACCTGAACTTAAATTCCCAATTCAAAGGGTAAATGACCATGCTGCCTCTGGGGCCAAAAGTCAAAGGAAAGGGTCAGGAAGGGGTCCAGTACTGACTGGTGGCCAATCCTGTCAGATGCAAAGCTACCCTGATGGATCTGGTTTTCCAAGAGGAGAAAGCACTTAAGAGACTCCCAGACATTTTCAATGCAAATTACATTATGTTTTAATGTCGTTTTATTAGAAACCATGCAAACTTTAATATAAAAAAATACAAGTGCAATAAGAATCTTCATGTGTCACACAGATCCCAGAATTTCACGGCATTCTTGTTGACTTTCCCCAAGAGGAACACCTGGCCCCCTCACCCCTACCCTCCTCTCCTTAACCAGGCTGTCCTCCATTTCTAATTCTCTTTTTCGCTTGTTTCTCTTTCAGACCTGATTCACACCCTCCTCCCTAAAATTCCAGGCACAAAGCTTTGGGGCCACTTCATCTGCCCCACTAGGACTCTGTCCCTTAGAACCCAATTAACTTTTCTGCTATAGCCCTTTGGTGAGTGGGTTCTTGATTTTTCAGGGGCTCAATCCTGTGGTATAATACAGTACATAAACCCCATGACCAGTCTTCTTTATAAAAGATCAACACACACACACACACACACACACACACACACACACACACACACACACACTCACCCACCCCTTGATCATCACACATCAAACTGGATCCTTCTCACAACAGAAAAAGACCCCCACCTATTTATCATAACTCCCCCAACTCCTGTCCCATTTCCACTATTCTTCTTGGCAGCCTCCTCTGAGGAGTCAGGCCCATCCTGCAGACCTCACGCCTACATTGGGGCATCAGGGTTGCATTCCAATTCTCTCTGACTAGGCCTTTGGCCACAAAACAGTTCACTTTTGGGTAGAGGCACCCAGCTAATCCATTATGGCAATTCAATGTATTCCCCAAGGTCACCTTCCCTTCAACACATTCTTAGTACTCTCTTTTCAGACATGGCTTCAACCCACAAAAGAATTCCACCAGATTTTCAGATTATTAAAAAGAAAGAAGTTACACCTGCGTGGATATGTATGTCAATACAGAGATTAACATCTCTACCTCTCCTAGGACTGCTGGGGTTGGAAATAGGGGGGGAGTAAGGGGAAAAAAATTAATAAAGGAAACTTACATGAGGCTGGTAAGCACAATGAAACTGTCAACACTTCATCACAAAAAAATGAAAAAGCTAAAATTATTGGGTAAGAACAGCCTAGTGTGTGTGCATTATATATTTTTTCATTAAATAGGAACACCAGAAACTTAAGCAGCAAGAACAAAATTTATGTTGGTTTTTTAGTTTTTCTTTTTGTTTAAAAAAAAAAAAGGAAAAAACCAAGGAAACTGGCTGCCAGCGTTTTCCATCAGAGCTCAAGCTGCCCTTTATTACCACTGCTCCTGGGGGTGGCATGGGCCATGTGTGTGTATAGCTTCAGCTTTAGTGAGTAGGAAAAGAAAGCCAGGTTTGAGACATGCATGGGACGTAAGTGGGCAGGAGGGCTGAAATAGGAAAAGCTTCGGCTTTCTTCCTGTCTCTAGCATTCTCCTCCCTCCAAGCCCTATGGAAGAAGAGTCACCTCCCCAGTGAAGGTCCACCTTTCCAAAGTGGGAGATGACAGTAGGGGAAGTCTGGGCTTTGAGGGACTGCAGCATGGTTGGAGAAGGAAGGGGGAAGAAGGGAGACACACTGAGCTCTGGCATTCCAAATCAGTGTGCATATGTGTGCCTCGGGAGCACAGGGTACAAATCCTAGAAAAGAGCTCCCAGAGAGGCCATGAGAATGTGGAGCCCAGTCACAAGCCTTTGGGAGAAAAAGCCGCTGGGGCACCTCCTATTGTGGGAGGCAGCTATTGCTGCTGCTGCTGCTGCTGCTGCCAAGGGGTGGCCGAGGCAAGGGAGTTGAAGCTCTGGCTGATGAAGGTGGTGTTGCCAGGGAAAGGGGAGGGTTTGGAGACAATGTCAGCTCCATGATCAGTGCGGGCCTTGGCATTTTCACGGAACGTCAGCTTGTAGGTTTCAATCTGTAGCAAGACATTGGGGAGGTGGTAGGGATACAGGAGGTAAGGAGTAAAGGAAAGAGGTAGAAGAGGAAGATGTAGGCATGGGGCAGGGGCAGGGTTGGGGTTATTGGAAAGGGGATGGAAGACGAGACCAGAATTTCATCATTAGATGCCTGGAAAATAAAAGTTAAGTAGCTCATTAAAACTTGGGCAGATACCTCTTTTAAAAAGTTTCAATTTGAAGAAGTGAGCTTGCCAGATCTCTTGCTGGAGCCCACCTAGCCAGGTGGAGCTGTGGGGGAGCACAGAGGAGGCATGGTGAACTTACTTGTCTCCTGGATCTGGGTGTCGAAGGTCTGAGTTTCCCTTTGGTCACCACCCAGTGAGGGGGTGAGGTGCCCTACGCCATTCGCCTGCATGGTAGGGCCTGCCTGGGCCTCAGGAGGCTCCCCGCTCGGAGGGGCCAGGCACAGCGGGGCCCCCTCGCCGCTCCCCTCAGTCTACAATGAAACAGTGGGGTGGGGAGGAGACAATGGATGATCAATAGGAGGATGAGGTGAGATGGTATGGCAACACAAGGTGTTCTGAACACAGCTTTGCCCCATTCCAGTACAGGCCAAGAGGTGTGAAGAACCCAGCAATCCGAGGTAGTGAGAGACAATGAGGACGGTCAAAAGACAGAGCCAAATCCTGGGGCCCATACCCGAGAGAGATGTAACACTGGGCAACTCCTTTCCCTATTCAGGGCCTTAGTTTGCTTCTTTAAAAAATTAGGGGGCAGGGGGTAGAATGCCCTAATGATCTAAAGAGATCAGCACCCTTTCTTTCGTGTTAAGTTCCAGAAATTTTCCTCATGGATTTCTCATGTGGAGCAAAGAAAAACATGGGGGGAAGGGGAGCCATCCCTTCTAAAACTCCCCCCAAAATCCAAAGAAAATCCTAGCTTGCCAAATGCCAGGGTCTTCTTCACAAAATCTGTTCTCTTTCAGACATCAAACCTTTAGGATTAGAGCACTGGGGCTCCAGCAAGTGTCTCTGTGTTTGCTAATTGTCTACCCTTGCTGCTGGGATCTTCAGTTAGACCCTTGTATTCTGGCGCCATCAGCCAAAGGAGTTTTAGGCCCCCACTGAGTAGCACTCTTAAGATTTCAAGTGCAAGGGACACTAGGCTGAAAGTTAGGAAATCTGGATTCTATTTTTAACTCTGTCACGAACTTGCTATGTGGTTTTGGACTCACTGTGAAACTGTGACACTGCTAAGTGAGAGGGCTGGTCTAGATGACCTCAAGGGTCAGTTTCGCCTCTAGCTGTCTTTGGCTCCATGAGGCAGGGATCCCTGTCTTTGTTCTCCTCTGACATTCCCTACATCTCTTCATGAAGCATCTCACATACTGTGGGCATGCAATAAATGAGACCTTTCTTTTCATTCATTCTCATCTCTATCCTGGCTGTTACTTCAAGATAAAGAACATCGCATTACATTCCAAGACATCCCTGGAGATGACAGCCAGAGCCTCTTATCCCAGCATCTCTCTGAACCCGCCAGGATGATCCCCAGAAGCTCCCAAGCCCTTTTCATGCAACGGAATAAATGGCAGACAATGTCTTGGCACACAGAGCAAACCCAAAGTGCTTTGGAAGGAGGGAGTCCCAGCCTAGGGAAAATGGTTATTCTCTGTGAAGCCGGGGATGGCTAGAAGCCAACTCTGAGCTCAGGACTCATGAGAAACCATTACACTAGATCCAAATTAAAAAAAACATGGCACTTCCAGGCATCATAGAGGGACAAAGTCAAATCCCAAAGGCGGGTGGTGGGAGTGGGCTGGGGACAGGGAGTGAAGGACAGCATAGTAAGAGGACCTGATGAGCTGGCCATGGAATCCAGCAGTAGCCAGAGATCTATTTCTATTCTCTGGGAAACAGAGTTGGGACTAAGAAATAAGTTACCAATATGCAGGTTTGGATGCCCAAGCTGCCCCCAGGCCTAGGTGGGAAAGGGAAAGACTGTGTGCAAACGTAGTACAATCTTCCACTTGGCTCCAACGGGGCACATGGAAGAAGGCTGATGCTGGCATGTTGTTATAAAAAAGTTCCTATTAGCTATCCAAGAATGAAATGAGCTCCCTGGGGGTGGACATGTTCTTGTCCAGCACACAATAAGGGGGATTCCTGTTCAGTTATAGGTGGGACAAGATATCCAGATGCCATTTTAAATTCCAGGATGGCAAGTAAGTCAACAAACCAGCAGAGGCAAGTTGGGTTCTGTGACACAAACCATAAAAAGGGTTTAGCAAAATACCTGAATGCTAGATGTATTGCTATTGGCTTATCAACACAAGTTCAGAATGTATGGGAAGTATCTCTTGTCTTTTAAGGATTATGTCAGAGAAGGTAATCTCTGGTATGATATCCTGGGATCATCTCCTGTAAGGAATGGGGGCTAGTAAGAAGAGATGAAGAGGATAATTCCAAGCTATCATACTGAGAAAATGAGATGTGTGGATTTTGGCTGCTATCCTAAGGTGAAGCAGAATCTAAATAGGAAAGTCACATTTCCCAAGGGGTGGGGGAGAAGAGGTACTGCACTGATGAATCAGACTAGAGAGTTCTCCCACTTCCCTACATCCCTTTTCTTTTCCCCCTAGTCCCTCATCCCTCTTCCTTTTTCTCTGGGTTTGGCAACAAAGGTGGTGATGATAATGAAGTAAGTGAAGACACTGCTTGTGGGAAGATTGAGGGGCAGCGGCTGACCTCTCGTCACCTTGACTACCTCCCCACCCTGCAGGCTGGCACTATGCCCCCGGTCTCCTTCTCCCCAAACTGGAACCACCTCCCTGTCCTGGGACTTAGTGCCCAAGGTCAGTGCCAGCCCCTCAATGGATGTACCTTGACTGTGCCACCAGCAGGCAAGTGTCCAACATTATCCAGGGATCCCACCTTTGCCTGGGCCTTCTCTTTGAAGTTCAGCTTCTGGTTTTCAATCTTGATGTCACCTCCTCCTAGAACCATAGAGGAAGCCATGGTGAAAAGAATAATAGATGAAGAAAGCAGGAGATCTGGGTTTGAATCCAGGTTCTAGAACTTCTTAGGTACATGAACACAGGCAAGTTACTTTCCCCTCTGTGAGTCTCAGTTTTGTTTAGATATCAGTAAAATATACTACCTTCTTCATAAGACTGTTGTGAGGAAAAGACTTTATAAATCTTAAAGGGCTATGCAAATAAGAACTATTATGACTTCTGCAATAAAGTCAAGGGGTGATGCTTCATCCCAGTGTAGGAGGTAACCTTGGGCTCTGGCAGGTTAGGAAAACGGACATCAAACAATGGCATGTCTTTTCAAGTTGGGAAAAAATTCAGATCTGGGCTGGTGACCAGGCTAGGTCTGTTGTTCGAATCTAAGCCCAGAACTTATTAGGGGCAGAATTTGAATAAGCAGAGACAAGGGGGTCACAAATATCAGATGCCAGAAGCAAGTGAATCCTGCCTGCCATGTTCCTCAATTCCCATATTAGGTTAGAAGCCCTAGTTAAGCTTCCTATTCTCTGCTTTTCTAAGTACAAACCTCTATGTATAGGGACTATGGTATCTCCATTGAAGCACAAAGTAAGAACCAGATAATTGGGAACACCTCAAAGGGAATCTCCTGATGTTAAAGAACTAACAGGCTAAAGGCAAATGTTCATGAGTAGGATATGAACGAAGCTGGAAACTGATATGTGGTTAAGAAAGTGATGACTGTGAATAGGATTGCCATTTCTAGACCATGGCTTAAAATACAGAAATGAGGCTATTTCCACCACAGGTGTAATACATTTAACAAAGGCTGATAATATGTATTTGCCTGGGATCTTGAAGATGTAAACAAAAAGACTTTTCACTGATTAGGTAGAGGAATGGAGAAGGCTGTATATGTACAAGTATCAAGCTAGATACTACAGATACTATGTAAACTGGATACTATATTCTTCTAAGAATAGCAGTAGAGGTACTCAAGGAGGATTAAAAAACATGAAGAAAACCAACAATAAAACCCAGTTGGTCACGCACAAATATTCAAAATATATTGATAAGTAATGGAGTAAACTGGAGATTCTAATCCAAGAAAGTGTATTTGACAAAAAGGAATCTCTGAGACTTAGTGACATGTAACCCATGACTAGAATATGGCTCTGGACATATATACCTTATTCAAAAGGAAAAGAAGATGTGAAGAAGGAGGGAGAATACCAATGAATACTAAAAAAATATGTCCTCATTTGAGGAAATAAAGGAACCAGAGGGAGAAAGGATGGTGAAGACCATTAGGGTGGCGATTAGAGGCAGGAGGAGAAGCAAAATGACCACATGAACATACTACAGAGCACTTAAAACAGAAAGAATTAAATGATGTCAGAAATTTGGCATAGTAAAGTGACACAGTAATGATGGGGAATTTCAATTACTTTCATATCTGCTAAGACCCGCTAAGCAAAAGCAGAAGTCTAATACATCTTTGCCAACTTATTGATAACTTCATTTTTCAAAAGGCAGAAGAAACAATTAAGAGTGCTACTATCTGGAAACTGGTTTCTCACAATAAGAAGCAGGCAGTGATAGGAACTAAAACATTTTTCTTTTCCCTACCAAGAAATGTAATCACTGAACTCGCAAAGACAAAACAAAAATGGATTATAGGGAGTTAACACTAAAGACAGGGAAGAAAACACCTCGCTACTAGACAGGATGAGGTCAAGTCATCAGGCCTAGATAACCATTACAAGGCACTGAATGGACTCAATACATTAAAACACTGAGCTGAATGTAATAAAAGGAAATTCAAAAGAATGAGAAGTTCTACAGAGACTTAAAAAAACATCAACTTTACAAATACAAGAAGGATGAGGAAGCCCAGCTAGGTAACTGAAAAAGAAAGTGGAGTTATAGTGTATTACAACATTAATGAGTCAACAGTGGGATATGGTAGTCCAAAAGGTCACATGACTTAAGGCATACAATGGGAGGTGTGACAACCAAGACTAGGAAAATTATGTTCTGTTTGCACTCTGCTCTAGTTACACAACACAAACAGCATGTGTTCAATAAAGAGAACCATATCTTAGGAAGGGCAATGAGGTTCTCAAGTTCACCAGACCAGACAATCAGATTTATAGCTAGAAGGGAACACAGACACCATTTGGTCCAATTTCCACATTTTAGAGATGAGGAAAAAGGAGGTTCAGTGATATGCCCAAGGTTTCACAGATAGTAGGATGTGAATCCATGTGGTGGATAATTAATAATAACTGAGGAAACTAACCAAACTATATAGATTTATTGGCAAAACAGGCATAACAAATGGGTCAATGGACTCCCCAGTCAGTCCGAAGGCCCTGAATAAGTGGGAGATTTTTACTGTATTAAAAACAATCAAATGAATAAGTGGGAGATTTTTATTGTATTAAAAACAATCAAATGAGGCCAACAAATTTAAAGAAAACAATTAATGGTACAAACCAGGAGACAAAATTAGTAATTTGATTTCTAACTGGAGGAATGATTAAGATTTTACAAGCTGGGAGGGGGAGACTGCAGGTACAATTCCCTGAAATCACAAAAAAGAGGTGTTCCATTCCCCTCAAGTGATGATATTCAATCAAAGGAACCTGGAAATAATAACTGATATGACCAATATATGGCCACTTTTCACGTAAGAAATATAGGCTGCTAGAGATTTATAATTGTGAGAAAACTCCTTTCATCAATCTTTGGATCTAACTGGGTTTTTGGTCAGCACAACCTAGGTCCTAAGTTAAAGGTCTCTAAGCAAAAGGTAGAGGTGGTCCAGCTTCCCAGCCACACAGGGCTATGTTTAAAAAAAAATGCAATGAAGTTTTCTCCCAATTCCCATAACTGAATAAAGCTTCCTTGTAAGACAGAAATTGGACTAGAACCATAAGCAATCAGAAAGAGAACTGACCTAGATCCAGAATTGAGTCACAAGATGGACTCAGTGTGGTTCACTCAATTCCTCCACCTAGGTCCTCTGACTTTAGAATCAGTGATATTTTCATTATGTAAAGAAAAAAAATAGATGGAAGACCTGAGGTGAAATCATAACCAAAGTGGAGCTACTGGGAAGGCACAGGAAAAGTTGTGTGATGAGTCAGGAATATCTTTATTCCTATTTTTAATATTCCTATATTTAATATGCTCTCGACAAATACTGGCTTTAGTACCGCAGGCAGGCTTGCAGGTCTTAACACCCAGTAAGTTGGGCCTTATAAAACAGCATTGTAGAACAAGATAAGCACTGAATCTGGAGACAGAGTGATCGGGTTACAATCCAACTCAGTCTCCTTTTCTACAACCTCCTTCCCCCCTTTCCTATCACCATCTCCTAGACCTCTCACCTAGTATCACCAACTCCTAAGGATGGAGGCACATCTGGCACATTTAGTTAGTTACACAAACTAAATGGAGATGACAGATCCTACAGATGTACTTCTTAAAAGTGGACCTCTTCTTTCCCGAATGAAAGGGCCATGACACCCTCAGCCCACTCAACTTCCCACCTCAGGGAGAAAGATAACTCACCAGGTTTGTGTTTGATATTTGCTTTGGAGCCACACTTTGAGGCCACCTTGGAAATGTCAACTTTCTTATTTTGTATCTGCACCTGAAGAAAACACATGAAAGAAGAAGGTACCTTAGTGCAAAATGTGAAGAGGGGCTTTATTTGAAGTACTGACATGCATCACCATGGGCCTTGTCTTCATTTTCAAGGTTCTACTACCTACTTACCTGTACTTGGGTTCATTCATTATTATTATTATTGGCCAAAAGCACTTTTTTTAAATAGCCGAAAGCACTTCTAAAGCACAGATGTAATCTAGGCAAAGATATTTATACTAAGCACCTGAAATTTATTTCTCTATCCTGACAGTACAGAAGATGTCTCAGTGGACGAATACAGCCTCAAATGACCTAGGCAGGTTCTCAAGGACCTCCACAAATCAGCACCTGCCCCTATGTTTCTAGATCTAGAATTCATGGCCAACTGTCACCTCTGAGAGTCGTAAGAAAAATGCTTCAGCAGCAGGATATGGAATAGAATATAACCCCTTGGGGGCAGGGACTGTTTCATTTGTATATTTCTATCTCCAGGGCCTAGCACACAGGAGGTGATTAATAAATGCAGACACCATCATTATGCTCAGGAAAATTAAGTTTGTTCCCAAGTAACCCACACAGACTATAATCTAATCACATGGATTAAAGCTCAGGGACTAATAGTATGGAATGAACTCTAACTAACCAATATACCTTTTCTTGCTCTCATCAAAAGCATTTATCACATCTCTGTGTCTCTGCTAGTGGTACCTGGTCAGATTGGCTAATAAAGGAAAATCTCAATTTCTTTTGTTAGTTTTTATTAGATGGCAATTGTATTTGCTTCTTAGTCTGCATTTCTTCAAATGAGCTGTTTCAAGATCTAAGTCCGAAGCCCCAGACTTCAGCAACCAAATTCACTGCTGTCTCTCTTTGTTGACGTTATTCTTATCACCTTCAATGCCTTTTTCATTCCCTGATACTTACCTATATTCTTTCTATCCATAACTGGTCACCAGCCTTTAGGGAGTTGTGAAGTATAATTAAGGCTGGAGATGAGATAGGGGATATACAAGGCATTGTAAAAGTGGGGTCAAGGCATAAGAGAGGGAAGACTGGTGTATGATAAAGGACAATGGTCCTCGGAAAGTGGGATACTGTTAGAAATAGCTAAGAAAGAGGGAGAGATGGGTATGAAATGGAAAAGACAATGAGGTATACTATAGTAGTCACGTAACATAATCCTAAAAGTTTAGGGCAAGTGTGTTATAAGTGGGGCCGATAATATGGGAAAAAGTGTTGGGTACAAGTGTGTGGGCCAAGTTCTTTTTAAAACGGGATAGAGAAAAAAAATGAAATACAGGGATTTGAAAGAACAGGTTGGATAATGACTACATATATCATTAGAGAGGGAAAGACTAAAGAAAAACTACAACCTAGCATGGAAGGTTTATTATGGGAGATGGCAACTTCCTAGGTAGGGCCCTGCTTATACTTTGAGAGTCCACCATCTTTATGTTCCCAGTACAAAAACTGGCAGCCCCAAATACCGGGTATACGTTCCCAAAGGTGTAAAAAGTCCAACACCATAACATTTAAAGTAGCACTTTTTGTGGTAGCAAAATAGTGAGTGCCCATGGGGGTGGGGGAATGGGGGGGAAGAGTGCTGACTATAGCATATTAATGGAAACGAAAATTACTGCCACATAAGAAATAATGAATATGAGGAATGCAAAGAAGACAGGATTATTTTTAAGTGAAATTCAGAGAAAAGAAAGTAGAATCAAAAAAATCATATTACAAAATGGTTATAACAGAGTAAATGAAAACACTGAAATAAAGCTGAACTCAGTTTAATTTCAAAGATCAGTTCTAGACCCAGAACAGATCTCAGATCTGTGATCCACTGTCAGATAAGGTCAATGCATTGCTTACTTTTATTTGTTTTCCTTTGTTACAAGGCAGGATTCAATATGTCAGACAACTAACACACATTTACTAAGCACCCACTATATGCCAGGCACTGTGAGGAGCATGAGGACACAAAAAAGGGCAAAAACAAAAAGCAAAACCAGGGCCTGCTCTCAAAGGAGCTCACAGTCTAATGGAGGAAACAATATGCAAACACCTATGTAGCAACAAGATAAACACAAGATGAATTGGGTGTAGCCTCCGAGGGAAAGAATCAAGAGTGAGGAGCAGAAAAGGCTTCTTACAGAAGGTAGGAGGCAGAAACTAGATGGGAGGCAGAAGCCAGAAGGGAGAATATTCCAGAATATCCCAGCAGAGTGGGATAGCCAAAGAAAATGCTTGGAGCTTGAAATCACTGGATTTCAGAGTAGGTGGAGAGGAGTAAGTAGTAAGAAGTCTAGAAAGGGACCAGGTTATGAAAGGCTTTAAAAGCCAAATAAAGGATTTGATATTTGACTCTAGGTGTAACAGGGAAACACTGGAGTTGAATGAATTGGGCTGGGAAGGGCGAGTAGGAGGTGGGAGTGTCAGGGGGAGGGGCGGGGGGAGATATGTTAAAGTTTTATGCAGAAACAACTATGATACAAAGAACCAACAGCAGCCAAAAAAAACAACAGCAACAACAACAAGAACAACAAAAACCGAGTGGGGGGAGGAGACAACACTGAAACCTCCAGTTTTTCACAAGGGGGGAGGAGGGCGCGCGAGGCAATTTTCTTCCTATACCTCATTTTCAATTGAAACCTCTCAGGGTCATATCTGGAATCTCCAAAAAAATAGTTTTCTTGGACTTCACACTACATGAAATCGAGGGAGCAAGAACCCATCATTCTCATCTTATTTCCTTTTGTGAAAATCCAAATTATGTACTCCATGACTATCAGCTCTTAGAATAGCAATGCACTTTCCACATCTACCCCTCTCCTCTAAAGAGCCTACCTTCCATCACCAGCATGGGTAAATACAACACTGAAGTAGGACCTCCAAGGATTTTTTTTGGAGGGGAAGCAACCCCTGTCACTGACCCCAAACCAACACCTCCCAAATAAGAAAAGGAAAAAAAGACTAGCACAATCGAGCAAAACAAATCACCACATTGCCTGTGCATCCCAAACTGAAAGCTGCACTCAGCATCTCGAGGCTGTTATCTCTTTGTTATTCACTGGTGGCCTCTAAGTTCTTTAGATGGAGCCTCAGGTTGTGCAGGCCTGGTTTAGAGCCTGGAACTTTAGAGAGGCTTTTAAAATTCCTAATGTCAGGATCAACTGTTCCAATATGAATCATCAGAAGTGGATAGTGGGTTCTAGAGTTCAATGGTCAGAGGAAGCTCTTTACTATGATATGGATATGTGCCTCCAATGCAGAGAATCTATCTTAACTGTTGTTAAAGTCATCATCACTGCCATCAGCAGGGAAACAAAACTCACTCAGAGCCAAATCAGGCATTCTACCTGGCTACTGTCCAGAATAAGAGTCTAGCCAAGTCTAGGCCTCAGGGTGGAAGTCCCAAAGGGAAGGAGCATCCATGACAGAAGGATTAGATGACAACATTTGGGACCAGTCTCAGAAGAATGACCAAATTTCTCCCCCCCCCCCAGAGTCTTTTGAATGAAAAGATCAGTAGGGTCATTTACCTTCCAACGTGCCACCTTTTCCACCTCCAGATTCAAGAGCTAGAAAACCAAGCTCATCTGAGGGGTACAGACAAGGCCAAGAGCAGCTGCTCTGTGTGGGGCAATGCTCCACTGCCTATGGCTCTTCCTGTTCAACAGTACCACGCCAATGTACATTGTATTTTAAAGCCTATTTTAAACGGCTGCATTTCCAAGCAAGCAGAGTAAGCCAGATATGCAGGAATATGGAAAGGATTAGGCTCCTTAACCACAATATCCTTGCTGGGTAAACTGTTCAGTTTTTAACATCAGTAGCTGTTCACATAAAATTCATTTTCTTCCAGGATTCTTCTTCTTTTCTCCATCAAATAGAATCATGCCAAATTATAAATGCTCTCCATATAGCAATTCTAAAGTATTATCAGTGCTTATGCTCTTGGCAAAGGAAGTAGAGGTACCTTTTCACAAGAAATAGGTGATTACTATCTCCCTGTTACCAATGACCCAACCTGATTCCTTCTGCCATTTTGACGCACTCAGTCTAAGTACAGAGAATACCAGAGACTGATATTCTCAGATACCAAGGAAGGCCACTCTTAAGAAGAGTTAGTAGAAAGACAAACTGTCCAGAGCCCATACTTACATTCCCACCTCCAGGGACATGCTTAATATTGTCCTTGGAACCACACTTGGATTGAACATGGCTGTAGTTCACTTTTTTGGAGACTATCTGGACCTGGAGCGTTAGAGAATGGAAAAACAACACAAGGGGAGACAACTGGTTAGAACTGGCACACAGCACACACGGAGTCCACACATGACAATTGTGACTTACAAGAGAAGAGAGTCGTGTTAAAGTTTGACCCCAACCTCAGAGCAACAAGGAGATGAGTTTGAAGAGGTAGGAAGAAGGGGAGGGAGAGAAGGAGAACAGTAAACAAAAAAGAATATGAAGAAGCAAACACAGTCCTAGGGATAAGCTTAATGCTTCTCAACTGTTTTCTAGTCCCCCGAGCTAGGGAGTTCAGCAAGGGCCCAACTGTTGGCACAGCCACCCCCACCCCCCACGTGCACCCCCCCCCCAATTCATGGGACCTCCTTGTGAGCACATTTAGCCTGTGTAAAAAAAATCACTTAGTGGTCTCCAGTGCACTTCCAGACCTACCCTACCCTTCTTTCCTACTCCCTAGATGCCCTATGCGCCAACTTGGCCATTATATGGGTGTGCTTCATTTGCAAAACCTAATTGGCTCCCATACAAAAAGGTCTCAAAGGGGTTTTTTGCAATCCAAGAGCCGAGCACTTTGCTCAAAACACTGCTCAAAATCCTGGCTGCTCTGAGAAGCATTGGGCACCAGTTAATTGGACACAGATCTGACGCCAACAGGAAGAGACATTGTTCAGCAATAAATGCAAATGATCCACAAAGCCCATGACACTCAAATAGCTGCATCTAAAATCTACCTTGAACTCTTAAACACAAGCTGGAGAATAGACTTCAGCCTTAATATATGATAAATGGCTTCCACATGCTGAACAACAAAACGTCTCTGGCCTCTACGCCTCTTCAACCGCATGATCGCATTTTTCTTGACACTTCCATCCAGCTCTGGATTAAAATCCCACCCCTTAGCGACCCTGTGTTCCTTGTTTTGTGTCCTTTAGGCCCTCTATTGTAAAAGAACCTATGTTTCAACTCTTCGAGTTTTCGGCAGATAAATTTTTAAAGGATTTCCCAGCATCATACTGGTGAGAAGAGCAGGCACCAGGTTCCTTTCCTCAATTTAGCAGACTTCTACTAAGCCACAGATCACAGACTCATTTTCTTTCCTCTTAGACCCCAATGCTTCCACCCTTAGTATTTCAGGGCTACATGCCTACAGCTAGTAACCCTCTCCCACACAGGGGCTAAATGAAAAACAACATTTTCTCTAAGTGACATCCAGAAGCTTTAAGGTACAATTACAGCCTTCATCATCTACTAGCTTAATATTCTTGGTCAATGTACTAGGCAGAGATTATCTGTTCTGGATTACTGACTGAAGGCAACACTGGATTTGGAGTCATAAAATCTGGGTTCAAATAAGGTGCCAGCTATACACTATAGCATAACCTTGAACAACTCTAGGAGGTCTTCATCTTGCTCTAAATCCCATCGTTGCCACAAAGTAGGTGATATCCATCACTGCCTATCTCACCCAAGACACTACTTCTAGCAGCCCCAATTAATAGAAGAGGTATTCTATTTGTCAAGCAAGATGATCCTAACTTTGAGGGTTAGCATGCAAGGTGCTTCCTAGAGGAATTTTCAATCCAGGACTGCTTTTAGGCATTTAGAACACCACTGACTTCATTTTGAGTCACTAAGGAGCAGGCAACATGCTGCCTGTGTGTAACTGTGATGACTGAACTCGAAGTTAACAATGTGAAAGGGTAGCCAGGTGGTACAGTGGATTAAGCATGTATCCAGAGTTAAGAAGACCTTAGTTCAAATCTGGCCTCAAACACTTACCCGCTGACCCTCAGTAAATCACTTAAAACATCTCTGCTTGCTTTAGTTTCCTCAACCATAAAATGGGAATAATAACACCACTATCTCCCGAGTCTGTTGTGAGGATCAAATGAGATAATTTTAAAGCACTTGACACAATTTCTGGAACATAGGAGGCATTATAGAAAATCCATATTCTCTAACCCCCCTATCCCAATGGGGAATTTTATGATACATGTGGGAACTTGGGGAACTTCTAAGTATCAAAGAAACAATCCTACTTATTACTTTGGAGGTGAAGATAAGCTAAAGGTGCTTATCTTATCTCTAATCTGATATACAGTAATGAGAAGCTTCAATTTTGCAAATATTTTTTTCTTTCAACAGACTTTGGAAATCCTTAGGATGCTAAGCTGATAGCTTTCAAACTATAAGAATAAAGCAATATTTCTTTTCTTCTCAGACATGACTACTCCACTAATAGTTGTATTTACTCCCTGGATATACATCTGCTACAGTCGGGCAGTTTCCAACTATACCCTAAGGACCCAGAAGAACCAGGAGAACAAAGCAGAGACCTCAGCTTTAGCAGCACGATTTCGTCAATGGGTATTTTCTTTCATGCATCTGAGTACAGGGAAATATTAGAGACAGCTCTCACCTTTGGTCATTTTGGGAAATATTTCTAGTCAAAAGAACAAAGGTCTTTCTGAGTATAGGGTAGAGACTATGGAAAACTGTCATGGCAGTAGGGGATTTCTGCCCTTTTTTGTGGGGGGGGGGAGTTGAGAAGTTATTCTTTCTAGGTTAGAAGTATTCCCTATTAGCTAGCCTAAATTCCCAGAGGAAGTCTGAGCAAATAGGTGTTTTCAGTTCTACGTGATTGGCTCGTTGACGAAGAATCATCAAATATGGAGAAGGGAATACAAAGAAAAAGAGGGGACCAGGAAGACAGAAGAAAGAAATATAATAATCTGAGACGAGAAAAAGTGGCTCAAAGTGGAAGAGATGTTGTTCTGAGCCTCCATCCTCAACAGGTGAAAATCTCAAATAAAACTCACTTTCCCATTGGGCTGTTTTTGTGCACTCTCTTTTGTTTCAGCTGCTTTAAAGGTGGTGCTTGTTTTAGTGACTGCACTGGGTTCAGGCTTTCGTGCTGTACCGATGGTCTCGGTTTTTTTCTCTACTTTGGCCTAGATGGAGACAAATGGAGGGTGATTTCAAACTGAGAGTACCAGGGCCCAAACTTGGAGTACTGGATCACGAGACAAATGGAACTTTCACAACTGATGCCTCCTTTCTACAGGCAGGGAGAGTTCAGGGAAAGAAGGAAGGAAGAATTCCAGGGATGGGAAAGAACAAGAGCCACAACAGGTACATATGCCTGTACTCTTAAGGAAGAGATATTCCCATGCCCTAGGCCACAACAACGAAGGGGATTTCCAAGTAGAACTCTGAGGCAAAGTCAAACTTTAGAGATCCCCATTAATTCACAAAGTTACTCTATTTTAGTAACTATCCCAGGTAAAAAGGATTGTGACCAGCCCATTTCCCCTACCCATGACCTCCTGTAAGTAAACAAGACTCTCCTATGGATTCTGTTTTGATTCCTCAACTGCAAATACTGAATCCATAGGTGCTGAAACCGAAGGCAGCACCACCCAGTGGTTCATGGAGAGAAGTCATGGACACAGGAAGATCGGGATTAGAATCGTGGCCCACGTGCCCATGGACAAGCTATTTAGACGAGCTATTTACCCTCAGCTTCTTCATGTGTAAAGTGGTCATAATACCTATAGCATCTTCCTCACAGGGTTTTTAAGAGGCTCAAATAAAATATATATATATAAAATGTTTTTGCAAACTTTAAAGTAAATTATCATGTCCAGCACTGTTTTACAGAAAAGTGCTTTGTAAACCATAAAGCACTAGAGAAAATTCTGCAGATATCCTTTTTCTTCTTCTTCTTCTTCTTCTTCTTCTTCTTCTTGTCCTTCACCTCCTCCTCCTCCCCCTCTCCATTCCTATGTTCAGAAGGTATGAAGGAGTTACAGAAGGAGGCAGCTGTCGCACTCTGCCAGATTTTCTAGGATCAATTCCTGTTTCATTTTTGCCCTGGACCAATAAACCAATTCTAGGAGAACAGTCATGGAGAAAGGTCATATCCCATTAATAAGTAGTGATGTTTTATCTTGGCACTAAAAGTGAACTTTGTATATTTAGGTAGGAGGGATGATCCTTAAGCAGGAACTCTCCAAGGTCTACAGAGACAGGACGCAATACCTTTACTGACAGTCATTCAAACTAGGGCCCTTTTTGATCAAGGAAAGCTGTTGGAGAAAGCAAAATAAAGTAAACCACCATGGACTCCTGCTGCTGTAAGGAATAAAAACCAAACAAGAAGAGGGAAGTAGAGTATTCGGTCTTTACTGCCACTGTTCTGGAGGAATCCTGGAGGTTCCAAGCAGCCTTAAGTCCTGAGTGTGTCCAAAGTCCTTAGCCTGAATTCAGCACTGAAGGTGCATATTGTTCCAGTCCCTAATGTACATCAATTCACAACACCCAGCCTGCCTCACCTTTATCTGGGAACCCTCCCCTCCATTTATAACAATTTCAGATCAAAGGCACTCAATTTTCCCTATTTTATTGATCTGAATTACAAACTTTTGCCAGAGGGGCTGAGGACTTCCCAGTCTCTGTGTCCAGAGAACAATTAAAGGGATCAGGACTGCCTTTTCCTGTTATCATAACAGCTTAAGGAAGGCTTTCTTGATTCCAGTGTTTCACTAACTGAGTCACCGTCAGATTAGGCACCCCTCCCCAAAAGTCCTTTTGGAAATCAAATTCAAATGTGAGTAGGTGAAATGAGATCCTCTTCTACATTACCCCATCCCTTCCAGCTCCCCTTTTGTTTCAGGAGTGCAGGCAGTTTATGGAATGCTCACCAGAGGGCACTTCCACTCTTGCTTCATTCAGGCTGAACCTCTCTTTCCAGAAATGTCGTGTGGCACAGATACTGAGGATAAGGTACAAAATGGAGAATGGAATGGCAACTAACTGATCTCTTTTGTAGGAAAGAAATTCCCACTATCCTTTTACGCAACCAAAAGTTGACAATGTTTCTTATCTTCTATCTTATTCAAGCACAGGAATTTGGATCCCAAGTAATTCAGCCAGATTGACCAGCTCAGAGATATAAACTGGTTCCCCTTTTCCCTTTCCATAACAATCCCAACCCTCATCATGGCAGAACTGATAGAGAATAGCATTCAGTGCAGCTGTGAGCTGAAGCAAGATCCTTGCAAAGAAGGAGGCAAGTCTAGTGATCAGTGGCTGGAAGAAGCAGGAAGGGTAGGGATGAGCGTGCTTATGCAGAGACTGCCCATGACTGCCCCAGGAGGAAAGCCCAAGCGCAAAGGACATACCCGGCCTCCACCTGGCTGGTGTTTGATGTTGTCTGTGGAGCCAATCTTAGAACGAACATTTTTAAGATCTGGTACAGAGTTGCTAGTTAATGGGCGGCTGGGTCGTGGTGCTGCAGGATTTGGTTTAGTTGGGGCCGCTTTGGGCACTCCTGGCTTCTTGGTGTCCACAGAGGTGGTTGTAGATGGCCTCAGGGTGACAGGTTTGGGCTTGACTCGGCTGGAAGCTGCCCCTGGCAAGGGAGGGCCCCCTGAAGATGTGGTGCTAGTGGTCTTCTGAGTGACGGTAGGGGCACTCTTTGGACGACTCAAGTCCACTGGAAAAAAGTCAGAGTAAGATTGACACATGAGATGAGACAGAAGAAATTCAGGCTTGAGAGACACTGTGACTATGTGATCACTGATTTATTGTTCTTTAAGATCATGGAGTAAGGGGTATGAGAGATGCCATTACCTAGGGAGGATTTTGCAGTAGTCTTCTTGATGTCTGTCGGCTTTGACTCATTCCTGAGAGCTACATGAGTGAAAGCACAGTGGTAAAGATTCAGTTTTTGAAATGACCAATTTCTCATAAACACGCAGACAGCTATCCAAAGGATACGCACCACATGCTGGGTTCCCTCAATTCCTTCATCAACTCCTAAGAACAGGAACACTTTTTCAGGGTATTTCTTTTACAACCCTTCTGCAGCCTTACTGCACACACGAAGTACTCAGTAAGAGCTATTAACTATCAGCTGCATTTTTCCTTACAAGAGAATATAGGAAACAGGCTCAATTCCTAATCTAATGCCACTCTGAGAGCTGTATACATCAAACCACTGCTTGGGATATTCTGACTAGGGCCCTGACAGCCTTTGCAGAATGAGGGACATACTCCACTTGGATCACAGGGTCATTAGAGGCTGTGGAAAAGGCCTCCGGACAACTGATTTTTGATTGAGTTTATCTAACTCCCCTGAAAGATGAAGTGGTAAAGTCACCTTTAGTCGTATTTTAATTGGAAGTAGTTTTATCAGTTTTCTTCCTCTTTATCCCCCAACAAGAAATTTTTCCTTAGACAAAAGGAACACTCTTGCCTTATTTCATTATCTACCCTACAAACACAACATTCAATTCAGACCACCTAAGCCCCGACCTTGTCCTCTCTCCTCCCACCATTTTACCATGCATTCAAAGAAGCCACTCTCACAGAAAATAGAGGGCCTGGGACATCCAGAATAGGAGAGAAGGAGTAGAGTGAGGGTGGGGAGGGAGAGAAAGGAAGAGATTACTTGAGCTTTAAACTACTAGCTTCATTTTTTTCTGTGAAGAACGGTATTCAACAGATATGAATACTAGAAAATGTATTCATAGATGTGAAAACTGGATCAGCTAGTTTTGCTCCGATCGGCACAAACAGGAATTCAGTGAAATGAGCAAAGAGTATGTCACCATGACTTAATGAACCAATGATTATTTTGACTGGGTTAATAAGCCCATTACACAAATAAGTAGGAATTTTAGTAGCTTAATTTCCAGGATGACCTGTCAAAAAGTCCCATCTGTTAACGAGGCAAATGAGCTACCACCTATAAATATCCTTAGCTTAAGTGCTTGTATCCAGAATTTTTGTTTTGAGCCAAGTTCCACAAGTGAATAGCCTTTTCTGGTAGTTTACCGTTAAGATTAGTGGCCACCTACTTGCTCCTGGGCTGTTTTGCCCAGTCTTTGGTTTCTCGAAGGTACACTGTAACCGTCCCTAATTTTAACTACCTTGTTAGGTTACCCAATGGCTTGTTCCAAATGCAACACTGGAAAGGGTTGGGGCCCAAAGATCTAAAATACTGGATGATGCTTACAGGGAGGTTTCTTGGGAGGAGAAGAAGAGGTGCTCCTACTGGCTGGACCAGTTGTCATGGGAGAAACAGCAACTGTGACTCGTGGAGTGGTTGGGGTACTCTTTGAGGCAGTTTTAGTAGCGGTGACAGGAGATTTGGATAGTGGGGTTCGTTTCTCAGGACTCTTTGCATCCAAAGCCTGGTAACAAAGAAGCATGGATAAGGTTCACAGGTCACATAGCAAATTTTCAAAGAAACCAGAAACTTAGGAGTAGACTAGGTGAATCATGGACTAGGGACTTGAAGTAACAATTTATTAGTGGAAATAAGGATGGCTCCATGTGTTTATACTAATACACTGTTGGTAAAACTGTAACTATGCATTGCTCCAACTATTCTAAAGAGTAATCTGAAATTTTATGTTAATAGCAACTAAAATTTCCAAACCCTTGTAGAGATCCTAGTAGTAGGCATTTACTCCAAGATGTAGCAAAACACTGGAGACAAAGTAGATATCCCCCAATTGGGAAATTATTAAACAAACAGTCTTAAACAAATGTGATAAAATATTATTGCTCCATACGAAACACAAAACATTAAATATTCAGAGAAATATGAGAAAACTCACATGAACTAAAGTATGATGAAATAAGCAAGACCCAGAAAACAATAAAAATAATATAGGTAGAATGAAACAAAATGGAACCTCATATTATTATAATGGACAAGTTAGGACCTGGAAAAACAAATGAAAAAAAAAAAGAAGTACCTGCCTCCCCTTCATTTCCGAAGTGGGAGGCTATAGGTGTAGAATTTTGCACATACTGACAGATACAGTTGGTTTTGCTGAACTGTATTTTTCTCTTTCTTTTTTAATCACTATTAGAAGAGACAATTGCTTTACAGGATGGGAGCAGGGATAGATTTACAAGAATAAATGATGCAAAAACAAAAGGCATCAATTTTAAAAAGAAAATTGTAAAGTATTAAAAAAAAGCTCCATAGGTTGAAAATATTTTAACTCAAGTCAAAGGATAAAACTGAAGCACTGTAGAGTTAAATAGTTTGACCACGACATGAAGGTGAATCAACTTCAAAACCTAGTTTGAACCAATGGACAACAAAGCCAAAGCAAGGTTCATAGTTCTATGTCAGTCTTTCCAAACAATCCCATGTAGGGCTCTCTCCAAGGGAAAGAAAACTGATCAAGCTCTCTTTTATATTTTAAAAGACATATTTTATTCTTTTTACATTAACTACATTTCCCATTCTGTCCTTTTCCCCAACCTTTCCCACAGAGCTACTGCTTATAAGAAATAATAAAAGAAAAAGTTCAGCAAAATTAGCCCACACCTTTACAAAGTCTGACATCCTCTATGTAGTCAAAGAAGTAGGAGCCAAGCTTGGTCATTATAATTCACTTTCAAATATTCTTTCCATTTACATTGTTGTAATCATTTTACATACATATGAATATCTGTGTGTGTGTGTGTATTTACTAGTTCTGCTTTATTTTGTATCAGTTCATAGAACTCTTCTGATGCTTCTTTGTATTCATCACGTTTTTCTTGCAACACATTAATATTGCATTATATCTCATGTGCCACAATTTATTTAATCACTGTCAAATAAATGAGTATCTACTTCATTTCTGTTTATTGACATTATAAAAAATATTGCTATAAATATTTGCACATAGAAAGAGCCTAACTTTCTGTCAATAACCTCTCTGGAATATATGCCCAGGAGGGGACATTTGAGTCATTCTCTTCACACGATTCCAAATTGCTTTCCAAAACGGTTAGATGAATTCAAAGGTCCATTAAAAATGTATTAGTCTATGGGTGTTTCCACAATCCCTCCAACATTGACTGATGCTATCTTTTTATCTCCTTTCCAACTTACTAGATGTGAGGTTAAGATTTCAGGGTGGTTTTGATTGCACTGCTATTATGAGTAAAATGGAGCATTCTTTCATAAAGTTTTAGCAGTCTGCAACCTTTGACTATTCATCTATTGGGTAAAGGTCTTTGGTCTTGATATTTATGTTAGTTCCCTATCTATCTTGCATAGAAGACCCTTGTCAAAGATCTCTGATACAATGATTTTCTCCCAATCACATCCTTTTAATCCAATTGCACCAATTTTGTTCATGCAACAGTTTTTCAATTTCATGTTTTCAAAGTTGTCTGCTTTGTCTTTTGTAATCATGTCTAACATGAGTTTAAGAATTCACCCCCTAACTATGGTTGTAAAAAGTCTAAGTTCTATATATCTTCTAATTGTTTATCAATTTTCAGGTCATTTATATATTTTGAATTTATTGTGGTATGAGTTGATGGGAATATTGTCTCTTTTTAATTTATAATACGTTTTGTAAATTGTTTCCTTTGTTTTAGGTAGCATTTGTCTCCTCATAGGCTAAAGATATTAGGCACAAAAACCAATGAAAATTTTAGAAGCTAGTAAAAAAAAACTGGATAATGGAGTAGTGAAATAAGGGAAATAAAGTTGAGCACTTATGGAAATAAAGGAGTATGAAGGATTTATTTTATTTCATTCGGGTCACGCTATTTGATTTCTAGGCAGATGTTCATCCACATGGCTACATTAGATCCATTCAGTAGCACAAGAAGACAGATTAAGAAGGAATGGGAAATCACTTTGAAAGAAAAGACCATGAGCAAATGTCTTGATAGTATCTGAAATTATGGAAAAAAGGGCAAACAGATGGTTTGATCAACACCTCCTACAGAGAGAAAGAACACAACTGAAATAACAATTGTGAACTTCCATTTCAAAGGAAAAATGGAAGGAAGAAATCCTTAAACTTATATATAAGTCATGTTTTGTTACTGTGATTTCCCCTAAAATGAAAAATACTTTGAATGAAAAGCAAAACAGGGAAAAGGGAACAAATGGTGTAAATAATGTTGCTATTTCCAAAGGACAATACATTCACAAGGGAAACAACAAATCCAGACCACACAGCTTCCTTTTTGTTTGTACTCAGAAGGAAATAAACACTGGAGAGTTGAAATAGAATAATGATAAACAACAATAATTATTTATTATTATTATTATTATGATTGGTGGTCTTATGATGAAAATGATAGCTAGTATTTTTAGGGCAATGTAAGGTTTCCAAGTGCTTTTACAAATATTATCTCACTTTATCCTCACAAAAACCCTAGAAAATAGAGTTTACAGATCCGGAAACACATGCTGCAGAAACCTGCCCAGGTCACACTGTCCTAAGCGTTGAATCAGAACTCTGATCTTCTTAACTTCAAGCCCAGCACTCTCTCTATTGCATCCCCTAGCAGCCACAACAGAAAGCATTCCACAGTTTTGAGAGAAGTGTTTTTAGAAGAGGAAGAGAATTCTTTAGAGCTCAGCAATGCCAAGAATGCTCACCAACACAGGGAACTTTGAACAGAGTTTCACAGACATTAAATGGCCAGAACAAAAATCATAAGGCAAATGAGTGGCAGAGAAGAGAATTTAGGCCTTTTGACAGCTTCCCTCCACTATATCACATAACTTCCCTTAAACTGATAAAACAAATAATGGAATGGAATGTATTGTTCTAGTTCCCCAAACTGGTAGAAATACAAAACAAAAATTATTAGAAACAATAACTAGCTTAACTCTAACAAAGGAAGCATAACAAAACTGAGAAACAACAGGGTAAAGCCACACAATTATCTTGCTAACAAGGAGAGTTTCCTGTCTATTAATAGGTTTATGGAACCTGATGGAGGGATACTGCAACTAAGAAGGCTTTTTGAGATTTGTGGATTTTTTTCCCTTTTCCATACCTTGATGGAGCCCCCTAATTTCTGAAGATTAGAAGGACCATACAAAGTACTGATAGCAATGCCTTCTATTCACCATTATATAATATGGTCAACGAAGAAGGTGGGTACTTAAGTGTTAAAGTTCAAAGTAGTACACAGACCAGAAATTGTGTCAGGAAAGACATCTCAGTTTGATGGTGGCTCTAAATTGCTCCCAAACTGATTAGAAAATCACTCTGTTTTTACATTCTGTCTTCAAAATATAAACATACCAACCACAGATACAGGTTGCCTCTTTGTCTTATTACCACTCTGATGCTTCTACAAAACAGCTGGAACTGACTGGCTGATGGGGGTCATTGGGGTTTCCCCATATTAAATCCCTGGGTGATTACTTACCTTTGGTTTTCCATCTCTTGAGATTAAGGAAGTGGACCGGGCAGCAGCAGAGGCAGCAGCAGGTCGTTTGGGTAGGGCAGCTGGCGCTAGGCCTGGAGCAGGGCTCATGGGCTTTTTGCTTGGGCCACCAGGAGTGGTGGAAACAGGCCGCTTGGGGGTGGGAGTGGGCACTGATTTGGTTTTCGGTGTAGCGGTCTTTGCAGATGGAGTAGTGGTTGATGGCTTTAGGTTCGTTGTTTTATTTTTTTGTTTGTTTGTTTTTTGTTTTAAGACAAGCATCCCATGATATACACGCACACACACAGAAGAACAAAAACAAAAGTTTCTTTAAAAAAGCATAAAGAGCACATTTCAAAATTAAATCGCAAACAATGATGATATATAGGAAATGATTCCTAGAGCAAAAAGAAAATTAACATTCTGTTTTCTGAATTCAACAAATGAAATAAAACTAGAATACAGATAAGAAAATGGGAAAACTATCTTGAAGTGCAATAAATTTAGCATACATCTTAGGATTTCCATGGTTGATACTTAAAATTTACTAAAAGCCACATTTTAGATTTAATTTCTGAAATATATCCTTCAGCAAGTAACGATGCTGTTGAAACATAAACTGCTATTAGATTTATCCATGCAATGATTGTGTCAATGTCCCTATTAAAGTTTTTAAAATTTTCAATGATACACCTAAAAAGTCAGTTGAATCTTTCAAAATTACTTTAAAAATGGGCAGTTCTCTTAATAAAGAATGAGATCAACATTCTCTGAAGAGTATAGAGTTTCTGAGAAGAAACTCAGGATAATGAGAATAAAAATGGAAAGATAAAAGTTGTGAAAGGAAGAGGAGAGCATGCCTAGGATTTTTTAAGCATCTCAGTGATATCAATTTTGTAATTCTTTTTAAGAAATTTCCCCAAAACTCACCTCAGAAGTTCAGAAAACAGAACTTAAATCTGTGGCCAGAATAGCAAAAGAAAACATCATATATTGAAAAAGAAGAAACTTGTAGAACAAAAATACACCAGCAAATTCTTGTACCTACCTTTGTTTTCTTCTCGGGGCTTGGGGGGAGCTCCTTGTTCGGAGGAGCAGTGATATCATTTCCATTCAAATTGGCAAAGGGCTGAACTTCATCTGGTTTGGCTGTTCAGAAAAGGCAAAAAGCTTAAACAAATGCCTATTTAACCCATTTCTCTGCTGAATCGTGCTTTAAGGCGAAATAGAGGCAGACCACTAACATTTTGTTCTGAAAAACCAAAGGGATTCTGCTGCCTAAAGCTGAGAAGACTGAGTTCTTTCCATTTTGAAGGGAGCTGGTTTTAGATACCGGAGATGAATGCGACTTTCCAGGGGGGAGAATATAACTTGACTTGGTTTTACACAAATGGCCAATTGATGGAAATGGCCCTTGCTGTTTGGTTCCCCTTCCCTGGAGGCCAAAAGGAAAATTTGCCACCAAACTGCTGGCTCCATGATACACAAGGGACAAAAACCTCTTCTATTAGAACCTATCTTCTAGAGTGAAAGCTATTAAAGAGATGGGAAGAAAGCCAGTCGCTTATCCAGTATACCACTGCCTTATAAAATCACTATTTCACAGTAGGATGTAAAATAAACCTGTCCCAGTTCTAGAAGTGACCTAGATTCCTAATAGGGACATTGAAACTCATTTAAAAAAAAAAAGCTACAGGAAGCCCATGCCAAAGAACAAAGCAAAAGCACTAAAGATGTACTTAACCGTAGCCCTGTGAGGAGGATACCCTGAATTTCTTGAAGAATCATAACTATAACACATGGGGCCTGCAAAGGTCCCACTTTAGATTAAGTCCTAAGAACTTTTTGATATTTATATAACAGGGTACTCATTACCCAGGATGGTACAGTGCTCGAGAACCCAGCTCCTAAGAGATCTAATGTCCAGCTCTTTAAGGCTTTGGGAATTTCTCCTGTTTCCGTGATCCTTCTCCCAAATGTGGGTTATCAAAAGTCCAGGACAGAGCCAGAAACAGAGCTGCTAGGAGCCCCGGCTATCACCTGCTCAAGGAACACTTCTTTTCCCAGTTTCTCCTTGGCCTTTTAAGTGGTACCTATGGATAATGCTTAAGTAGTAATAAATACCTGGCTGTACATTATAATGGCAAAAACAATTGTGTCATGAAGAGTTCAGTGTTCACATAAAACTAGTAAAGACAAGGTCAACTTTAAGGTCATACAAGATGGCAGAAGTAATTAGGTTATCATTTGCCAGGGTGCAGATGTTCCTACAGTGTGAGAGAAGACTGTACACATGCATACTCTTCCACTGAGATCTAGGGCTTTCCCCCCTCTTAATGGAAAGGAAATTAATCACATGATGAAATTTGTTATATGACTGATGGTATTAGAAATTAATAAATTTAACTTTTCCATTTTTTATATTACTTTCCTTCCAATAAGGCTTTTTTTTTTTAACTTTACTTCGGCCGAATTTGCCCATTTCAACAATCCAAAAAGCTGACAATGATCTCTTTTGAGTTATACATTGGAAGTTAAAAAAACATATTTCATTCACCATGAAAACAAAAAGGTTGCCCCTTGCCCCACCAAAGAAAAGTAACAGGTCCTATGCAAAATAATCACTTTTTGTATTTTTTAAGACATAGCTAAGGATCTTTCTTATGCAACCAAAACATATGCCTGAATTGAAACTGAAAGAATCTTATCTCTCAAACTAGGGCATGAAGCTGAATTAGTCCCCCTTATTCCTTTCCCCTCACCTTACCGGACACACCAGGTTCTTCTTGAAAACATATTAAATGATAACAGGTTTAAGGAACAACTTCATAGTCATATGAAGGCCATTGCCTTATAAAGGATCAAAAGGAACACAACTGAATGAATGCATTAAATATCATCATCATGACATGAAAGGGCCTTTGGATTCTCAAAGGTCATACTGGTAGAGCCTAAGTTTTGGTAGACTCCAAGGGCCTGTGGACCATAAACCTGGTCATACTCTAGCCTTGCTAAATTTGAAGATAAGTTAAAACCACGAGGTTGAGTGCCAGATAATTATATTTTTTGGTCACAGTAACCAGTAAGTTCCCTGATGGATACAGAATTGAAATAGCATTGAATCACCAGTGAGAAAATGGAGACCATACGAAACTCAACCAAAGAAATTGGTGATGGTGAGCCTGAAGAAAAGACTTAATGAAGACAGGAATTATCAAGAGAAAATGTTTAAATCTGTTCTGCTTAGCCAAAAAGAATGGAACTGTGAGAAACAGGAAGCTGCAGAAAGAGATATCAACTCAAAATAAGGGTAAAAACTCACCTAACATGAAGTGTTATGTAAAAGAGGTCTAAAGTGCCTCTGGAGATGTTCATCCCCTTTACTGTAGGTATCCAAGCAGATTCCCTGACCACTTATAAGGAGGTTGTAGAAGGAATTCTAGTTGAGATACAAGGAGGCCTAATGCCCTCAGCAGTTTCTTCTAACTATGACATGCTGTGATTAGACTTTATTTCTGAAATATGAACCAAAATATTTCTAATCTTAAATTAGGAGTCCTATGTATTCAAGAAAAATATGGAGGGTATGTATTAATGTATACATTATACATAAATAATAGCTGAAAAAGAAACATCCGCCTTAATTATTCTCAAGTTAGGTACTAATTGGAAGAGGTATAAATAGGTATTTTTCCCCCTAACCAAAAGAGAGAGAGAGAGAGAGAGAGAGAGACAGAGAGAGAGAGAGAGAGAGAGAGAGAGAGAGAGAGAGAGAGAGAGAGAGAGAGAGAGAGAGAGATTACAGACAAATTATACTGAGGAGAGAAAAACCAAATCAGTGTCGGCAACAGGAAACAAAGTATTCTTTATTTAGCACGAAACTAGTTCTAACAGAGACTTTAAAGATCAGCATCAAACAATTTTAGACCTAGAAAAGGACCTTATGATTAGTCTAAATTACCTCTCTTACTTCACAGATGGAGAAAACACTGGCCTACAGAGGCAAACTATTTGCTCTTCAAGGTCATACAGCCAATGAGCAGAGGGAGGACTGGAACATTAGGTTTCCACTGACTCAACTCAACAGCCACTACTGGGCAAAAGGACATTGCTTTCCAGTGCAGGGCTCTTCCCATTATACCTCACAACTATAAGGTCTCTTGCAGTTATGACAAAAGCAATTTTGGTTTAAAAATTCTAATCTTCCCCTGGATGTCACCACTAGTAAACAAGCAAAACAATTTTAAAACCATTAAACTATATAAATTCTACGGACACTCTGAGTATGTTCTCTCTCTGTCTCTTTCTACACACACACAGACACACACACACACACACACACACACACACACACACACACACATCCAATAACTCTATCCGAATTTAGCAAAATTTATGGAGAATCCAAGCTACTAGATTTCTAGACTCTAATCTACCATCAGTTATAAGCTGAAAAAAGGCCCTTGGAGGGACTGCATTCTACTGGCTGGAGATACTACTAACACACTGGATAGCGGTACAAACTGCATTTGAAACGAGACAGCCTTGTCCAATCACCCCTCAAACCTTGCCATATCCCAAACCAGAGCACCCCTACCATTCTCCTTCTCTGCAGCACGCTGCTGAAGAGTGATGGATGAAGTCATACAACTGTGCTGATTCGGCTCACTACAAACTTGTTATCTAATTTCAAAAAGGCCCTCAGTGCAACATGATGATCCTTTCATTCTTCCCCAAGTCTCTCATAATCTCCATGGTGACCATTTAAAAAACTTCTTTCCTCCTAAGACCCTTAAAACATGTTCCTTGCACTGATATACATCTACAACACTTGTCTGTGTATATGTTATTATCTCTCCAACCCTCAACAGAATGTAAATTCTTTTAAGGAAAGAACTGTCCCATTTTTATTTTTGTATCCCCAGCATCTGACTGGAACTAGTAAGCAGTATTTAAAAGTGCATTAAGGTTTCAGGCAGAGGCAGTGAAAAAACATACTATATTACTGACTTAAGCACTCTATTTATTTAATTTAAAGATAGATTCAGACTAATCAGGATTGTATTACATTAGTGGTAATCAAATCCACTTCCTTTATTTTAGATCTAAGGAAACTAAAGCCCAAATGGATTAAAGAACTTTGCCAAGGTCACACAGTGGTACAGGGGCAGTGAAAGAACAGAGACGGCCCAAGGAAGAGAAACTTCAAGTATGTGAAAGGGCTACAATATGAAGGTGTACTAAACAAAAGAAGGTTATTCATCCAAGACCAAAACAAGCAAAAATATGATTCATGTTGATAAAATCATGAAAATTATAAAGAAGATCAACATGAACTTGCTTATCAAATCCCATTACACTGGACCTAAGAATCACCCTTTGACAAATGAAAGGAATGGTTCGGCGGCAAAAAAAAGTAAATGTTACTTACAGTATTTGGGTCAAATGTACAAATACACATGCACACAAGAAGGTTTAGGTAATATTCAATCTTTTTTTTTTTTTGGTGGGGGGAGGTTGGTGGTGAGGCAATTAGGGTTAAATGACTTGCCCAGAGTCACACAGCTAGTGAGTGATATGACTTAAGGCCAGATGTGAACTCGCGTCCTCCTTGACTCCAAAACTGGTACTCTACTCACTATGCCACCTAGCAGCCCCAGTACTCAATCTTTTTAAGGTCAACCTCATGGAAACCAACCCTACTTTTTCTCTCTTTTCTTTTTTTTTTGGGGGGGGGAGAAAGAGAAGGGAGAGGAGGCAGAAATCAGGATTAAGTGACTTGCCCAGGGTCACACAGCTACTAAGTATCTGAGGTCAGATTTTAATTCAAGTCCTCCTGACTCTAGGGCCTGTGCTCTATCCACTGTACCACCTCGCTGCCCCAACCCTATTCTTTTTCAAATCATCTCTTGATGCATTTCTCAGAAAAAATACTGGAGTGAATAGACCGTGAGGCTACTCAGTAGACCAAAGTAAAGTATTTCTTACATTTCAACATTTTAGGACCATTTTAGATAGAAAGAAAAGGAAAATGACAAAAGCACGCATAATGTTTTATATTCACAAATACCCCTTTTCATATAAAATAAGCCCTCATTTTATCTTCTAATTCTGATCATACTGGCTTTCAATAATTGATTTTTCATCAT